TTATCATAATAGTTTTGAATGTTCTACCTCAGATTTGTGAAGTGATCCGCTGTTTGGCATCAAGTGTTTGTCACGTTTGGCCATAAAGTAAAGTTTAACCACACAATTAACTATCTGGTTTCTTTAATCTAACACTAACGAGCAAAAATTAGCCTTTAAACTTGAAAGAAATAATGATTCGATATTTATCGCGATAATTATCGATATCGAATGGTATGGAATGTTTTTATCGTGACAACATTTTTGGCCCTATCGCCCAGCCCCTAACTACATGTCACATTCACCCCATTAACACACAGATTCATACGCTGATGGCAGAAGCTACCATGCAACTAGAGCCTGACCGGTAAATCACTGTGTCGATATTATCGGGTGATATGAGCTAATTGCAGGTAAATCGGTATCTGTGTGTATAGCAGCCGATAAATGACAAAGAAGAAACAAACAGATGGAAGACGGATTTTTCAATCATGTTATATTCCGATATATCGGATTATCAGATTTTAAAATCCTCAAATATCTTCTTCAGTCTTCAAAATCCCATATCGGTCGGACTCTAAGCTGCTCATCAGAAACTAATTATTCACACAGCTATCAGGGCAAATTTGGGGTAAATATCTTGCCCAAGAGGACACTTAGATATGCAGGCTGAGCTGGGGACAAACTGCCAGACTTCAGAGGAATGGGCGTCTCGCTGTACCTTCAAGCCACAATGCATTTTAATAAACTATGAAAACACAGTGAAAAAGAAAAAAATGAGTTTTTGAAGAGATTTGTCACATCAGATCAGTCTATAAAAACTATTTTCACTTTTGCGCAACTAATACTACCCTGACTACTAAATGCTCACACCTGTGTCCAAAGTCCACGCTTTATGTGTAAAATAGGTGAAGTTTCACTCTCTTTAAACCATATTATTGTTCAACTACAACTTGTTTGCAATTCAATGTACGAAGACAAGATTGTTTAGCACTTTACAACAGCTATCAAACCATTTCTATCAAAGGTGACCTTTTTTCTTACACTTCGTTTCACAAAAACAAAATGTAGTCATTATGTCTACCCTATCTCGTAAAAAAAAGTTGGTTGAATCCAGTTATTGTAAGTTCCTTTGGACAAAAGGCATCTGCCAAATGAATGTAATGTAACCACACATCTACTCATATTTATTCAACACTGGATTCAACATCTGCAGCTTTAATTTACTTAAAATAATTTACCTCGACAGATATGAGAAAAGTGGGATGAAATACGCTGTGTTGTTTTAATTCCTTATCAGTTCTGCCACAAAACAGTAGGCCTACACAGCACAAAAACAGTTTTCTGTTTGCATAATGAACTAAGTCATTTATTATTTGTATGAATTTGACTCCCAAGATTTGGAGAGTATGTTCGCAAATAGTTGTATCTTACTAGGAACTTATGCACCAACACTGTGTATTAGGAACGTGCCTGTATTATACTTGTATGATGGCATTGTTAAACCTATCAGACCCCTATGACCCTCCTCTCTGTATATCCATAAATTCAAAAATGTTTTAGTCATAATGCCTTGGCATGAATGCATTTTTTTTTTCTGATTAAACGCATGCATGAATGCATTTTTCAGAGTGAATACTTATGTTTAATATAGAGTTGTCACTTTTTCAAATTTCAAAAGATTCGAATAAATAATTAGTTTGAATTAAATAGTAACCAATGTAGCCTAATCTCAAACAATGAAGTAGAATTAAAGTCACTGCATTTGTTGGGAGTGCCTACATGGCCTTGCTTGAGTGACCAGCTAACATTACTGATATTTAGGCTAGTCAGCAAACAGCCTTACCTTACAGGGATCATATTATTACAGATGAAATACAACATTAGAAGGAAATTTGCAATTAATAAAATTAAGCCCTAGCTGTTAAAGAATATTGTTAGGGGGTTTAATTGATGTAACAGGGAAAGGTAAGACAGGACGAGCTTGAAGTCATTAGCTGACCCAATAAGTTATAAATATAGTTATAAATATATATATATACAGATATCGGTGTTCTCTGGGAATCTGGCAAAATTGAGTCTTACAAGAATGTTTACAAGAACTTACTGACTCCACAGATTAGAGTACAACTCGTGGATAGCATTGGAGTCTAAACATCAGACAGATTTGTAGCTCTAGGTTAGTGCCAGTTAAAGATGACCTGAGAGAGAAAACCTACAAGAACGAAGGGGAAGACAGAAACGTAAAAGGGACCAAAAGATGTCATCCTTCAGATTTGGTGTTCACATGTTGTACGCTGGCACTGTATCTCCTTGGCTGGGCTCAATAAACCATGCTATCTTAAGTCTCTAAACTTCTCCACAACTGAACCTGGCTCGCAATATTTCCTCAACACTAGCTTGCTAACATTTTGCAATCACACCAGCTCTTTCTTAATCCAGTTTGTGCACAGTGTTCTTCTGCACAGAAAAATGAATATCTCTAGTGACTAATCAGAAATCATGAAGACACGAGGACCAGCCGAAAGGTCTTAATGGCCGTCTGATTTCTTTGTTGTGTTTCTCTCCACAGTATCCTCCCTATGAAGCAGGGAATTCTGCTGGGCCAATGGCTGGGAGCTTTCAACCTCATGGACACGTTCAAGGGACGCCCCATCAAACAGGACTGAAGGAGGAGAGAGGAGAATAAAAAGTGAAGGATGACTGAAATGGAAGGAGCCATGGAAGTATTTAACCCATCCACATCAACACCTGATTTAATCTTCGTAGTGTATTGGCCTAATATTACTAATAGAGAAGGGCAGAAGAGTAGTGGAAAAGGTTGGATTTGAATTTTAGACTTTAATGCCTCCATCATTTCAATGGTTCATACTTATATTCTATATATCAATGAATGATAGAATCTTATATGTCTTGCACTGTATAATTCATGTTTTAAGCATTCATATCCTTAATGTACTTGTTTTTTAATTACTACATCATTAGTAAAAAGTGAAGTGGGATAATTATCCTAAATATGGGATTTTAAGGCACCGACTTATTGTTGAGTGGCTCAGTGTTTTATAGTCTTAAGTCATTGCACATTAAAACCAAGTGCCAGGGCCACGCGCTCACACTCAGGAACAGTGAATCTGACCAAATGGTTTTTTAAATATTTGGTACCTGACTTTGTTAAAGTCTGGAATCTGATGGTCAGACCACTCAGAGTTCTTGTGTGTTCAGACTGAACACAAAGCAGATTTTTACTTTGTGTTATTGGCACAAGTTTGAAAACTTGATTATTTTGTAGTACATCTTTATTTACAAACGGCAAATATACTTTTATGAGATTAGCTGTACTAGGTAGCAACATGCTAGCATGCTACAGCTAGCTAGTGTGAGAGTAGAGACTCCTATACTTTGCTTATTGTTTCCATAGATTCATGAATTAGATTGAGATTATGCACAAATCATTTTTAGCTTGTTAGGGTGCATATTCACCTGCGTTTGCTCGAGACAGGTCGAGTTTGTATACACTTGGGATTTGCCTTGTTTTGTACAAGAAATCCCACTGCCTCCAAAATCTACCTTGCGTAAACGCCTTTATACAACTTAAACACACTTGTCAGAAAAAAACTGGCTTTGAGTTGGTGGCTAGATAGAAGTAACAAGCATCCTTATTAAGACCTTAGCACACAAAGTCTGTGTATTTTCGTCTGAAATTGTTGCACGTTGAAAACTGAACAGCTTCGATTACCTGCTTTTTCTCATATACGCCAAAAGCACGGTATCATTTTATAACTTTAATAGCTACTGTATTGGTTAGAATATAAGAGCCCCCCCCCCCTTTTGGAAAAATACTTTCTGAAGACCAAATCTTGTTTTTCTAAAGAAAATCATTTTATTTGAAAATAATTATAATAAAAACACATTAAATAAAAGGTAGGTTGTTGATTTTAACATATTTTAAATAAAATAACTTTTTTTATGAAATGGTCACAACAACAACAGCCACCATAACGCCTCTTCAATTGTTTGTTAGCTTGACCTACTTTTGAGTTACTTTTTTCAACACAATCGCTGTGTCTCTCCATGTTTCAGTGGGACGGATGGTGACATGCAGGATGGCAACATTCACTTTGCCGATATTTGGCGCCATCTGTTGTTGAGGGCGTATGCTTACATTTAAAGTGCTACACCCTAAATTAAGATGAGGTGAGAAAATTAAACGGGTCAGGCGGGTGAGGAGGAGAAAGAGGATGAAATAGAGGATGAAGACAGCACACAGACTCAGAGAGAGGACGGCTCAGTCCCTTCAGGTAGCCGCGGGGCCAAATGCCAGACGTGGGCAGAGAGAGGCGACAGCCTTGGGAGGTTCCTCCAGTGGAGGGAAGCGAGGGAGAAAATGAGAGTAGAGAGACAGAGCGAGACTAGACAGGCGACGTTGTGTTTTCACAACTAACAGAATAATAAGACTCAATGTGGAAGTTTTCTGTGTGTAACGATTTTTATGGGATAAAATAATAACACAGACTTGGTGTGCAAAGACCTTTAGTTTCCAAGTGAGTAACATCACATTCAGCTATATCCACTAACTTTTTATTTCTTACAGTGGTGTTGCTCTTGTTACTTCCTGTTATCTAGCTAAAGCCTGCCATTTGACCATGATCTTGAGCTGGGAATCATTGTGTTAGAAAAGCCATAGGAAGCTTGTATATTAGTGCCTAGTTATCAGTATACCTCTCAGTAGTATGTTCAGCGGGCAGACAGAAATGTGATTGTTTCCTGTGGATAAAAACATTTTCAAATTTCAGGAATAACCTGTAGTAATTGTTTTATGAAGTAATAGTTTTCAGTCAGAATTTTTTCAATTCCACCGAGATTTTGATGGTCCTATCATAACACTTATTAAGCACATTTACTAACATGTTGCAGTCTATAATGGCGAGATTATAATATTATAAAGATTGTAAGACATGTATCTGGGAACACGGATCTAACTTTGTTTTAATTTAACAATGTGTCATATGTAATGTGTAACTGATAGCTATCATATGAATGTATGTCATTTGTGGACGTTTTCGTATTGAACACATTGAAAGAATGTTTAATTACTGATTAAATGGATTGCAAATAAGAGTTTACACATTTTGCCTGAATCATGCCGTTAAATGACTCATAATGGAAGTACTGGAAATGGCAAAAGAATGTCATGAATGTGTGTATCTAAATAGTACATGTATACTTATGTGTAGTACATACAATATGTTTTCAGAGCTATTGCACAGTGTTTGAACGTTAACTACCTGGAACTATCATTTTTAAGATCCTGATCAATACATTCTCTGATTTCAAATGTTTTGTTTCTGTGTTTTCAGTGGTTTTCCTTTGATTTCCAGTGTTCCTCACTGCCAGATCACATCAAAGGCACAAAAAGCGATCACAGTACATTACACTTCTTTATAACAATCCCATCCTCTCAACTGCGCCCTCATATAGAATTACAGCCTGTTATGTTTTTCTAAGATGTAGGGCTGCACAAATTGCATCACAATTTTTATTTTCACTGAAAAAAAACACGATTATAATCATGATGATGTAACATTTGTTGGGGTTATATATCGCTAATATTTTGATTAATTGTGCAGCCCTACTAAGAATAATACCTGGTTTTAAGACTAAAGGGGGTGTTCAAAGAAGATCTTTACATTTTAGCAATGTTTGGAAGTGAATCTGTTCTAGTCGTCTTCATATTATGAGTTTCTGCAGAATCACAGCCTCAATCAATCTGACATGGCTTCAGGTCCACTTTCTTAGAAGGCCTATGAAGCTCTAGCTGATGTATGATTCGTCGCATTGTAATTGCAAGTTCCTGCCATTTTTCTTGAGAAAGACCAAAACAAATGGACACTTTCATATCAACTCATAATGGGGTTTCAGGATTACCTCAAGGACATAGCTTTTAAACATCTAACAAAATTTAAAATACCAATAATTAGTAATACATGAGTTTACAGGATAAGTTGTGCCACTTTAGCACACGCACGATTGGCATGTACCAGTAAAGATAAACTGTAGTCCTACATGTCCTACCAAAGGCGTAGGACATGTGCCTACAGAAATCTGAGCAACTTGTTTGCATTATCTTTGGAGTGAAGTCATACTAGATAATTCCAGTGTGCCCCCCAGAGGCTGTGTTAAATTAATGGTCGAGATGCATGTGACTTCTGCTTAGCTGTTGTTTCAGAACAATGGATAGCACTGAGAGAGAGCTGCAAGGCAAACGGCTGTTTTTACGCAGCTTCCTCTGCAGATTTTGGCAGAGAATTGTTCATAAATTTAAAAACTATTTAGCGATCTGCTGGTGCTACGTTCTTATGTGAGTGCTCTGATTATTATATAGGGGCTTGTGTCCATGTACTGTTCATCTCTCTCACCACACAAGCGCCTCATCCCAGCTCCCTGCCTGTGCTTTAATACGAGAGAAAAACACAGTATGGACACACTCTTATGTTGTATGGTTAAATCAATGAATTTGATTTTATCTCGCAATTCTTTTACTTGCTAATGTTTAACACTCTGTGATGATTAACAACATTTGCAGGTCCATATTTATTAAAGTGTACATGACTTACATAAGTAAGCTTTATTTCACAAAATCCTTGATTGTTCAGATTTCTGAAATAAATATGAATATCTGGAGCTGTTGTTAGAGCGAAGGTCCACTAAGTTCCAAAGGCGCAAAGGACCAGGCTTATTTATAGTTAGCTGACCAAAACTGTTTTGTGTAGCCCATGCATCAACTAATTTTCAGAATCAGAATCAGAAGGAGCTTTATCCAAGTAGTGTTTTACACATACGAGGAATTTGCTGTGGTGATAAGGTGCTACACGTAGACAAACATACAGTCAACATAAATAAATGTAGAAATATATAAATATGGAATGGAAGAACAATGTTGCAGATATATACATGTGCATTATTCTGGGTCTGTGCTGTGCAGAAGTAACGCAACGGAAGAGAATATTGTGTACATATAAATATATAAACTGACAACATAAAAATATACAACAACAAAGATCAACAATCAACAACAAATATGTGCGACGTGCCAAGTCTGAGCCCGACACGAGATGATCAGACATCAGATATGACAGTCCACCTCTTTTCAACCCTATGATCTACAAAATAGGATTCTATGAATAAATGATCAAATAATACCTTTACCTTTTTATATAGTGCTTTTTATACACAGAATGCAGCTCAAAGTGCTTTATATCTAGAGCATTTCAAACAAGAACAGGTGGGAAACAAGTTTTGAAAGAACAATTAAATTTAAACAAAACAAGAGAAAGTATTAGTACTGTTAAAACCAATATATATGCACAGAAGAAGAAAAGATAAAATTTGTGAGAACAAATGAATAAAAGCAAAACAAGAGTGTAAGTACAACACTGTTAAAACAACGGCATTTAGCAACCTAGAAGAAAAAAGATTCCAGATGAATACAGCACAAGAATTATAAATTGGAAAACATTGCAGTTCAAATAGGACGTTTGTGTAAGTGCAGTCTTTCAGGACCAGGTACCTATAATAGCAGCATTGGAATATAAAACAGATTTTGATGAAATACAAGAAAAAAATTTGTCAAAATAAAACAAAAAGGTAAAATAAAGGATAAAAAACAATGAGTACAAACAGCATGAAGCACCATAGTAAAGAATTACCTCAGTGCATTTTAATGAGCTTCTCAGATCCCCATGAGCAAGCACTAAGAACTGTATTATAAGTAATTACAAGAATATAAATATGATATATAAAAATGATCGATTAAACTGAAGGATTCTGTTATCAGACCAATGAAACCAGAAAACATGGCATTCAGTTATAACAATTTAATGGAGATATTGACATTGAGTAATAAAGTGCATGAAATGTACCTGCATCATACACATTGAAGTATGCACGCACTTGGCTTTAAGCACTCAGTTTCAGTTAAAGCCAGTTTTATAACTTGCGGTTTCTATAATTAGCTGTGTGTGTGATTCTGGCAGGGTTTTATTTAATATTTAGACTTTAATTTTTAAAGCTAAATATGTATTTTTTTTCCTCATGTTAGCAGCCATAGTGCCAACCAATCATCATTTTATTGGCTGAGTGCTGATCACGGTTTTAATTCTATGTTTATGCTCTCTTCATTTTAAAAAATAAGAGTGCGCTGATATTTAAGATAACATAATCCAAGATTACACAAATCAAATCATGTCTGTTTTGAAGAACCAAGTTAGCTGGATGAGAATAACAGGATCATTTTAGCTGGATAACTTCACGTAAGCAACTTAAAGGGTTGATGCTTTTACTATTAGTATTAGAAAGAGGGTGTTTCACCATTGCAGTTCAGAAAGATTGCTGGTACAACAAAGGAAGAAGCGGCCAGAGGTAAACATGTTGTAGTGACTGAAAGGTTTAGCGCACAATTGTTGCAGTGCAAGTTTAAAGTGGAAGACTGAAGACTGAATTGCAATTGGCTGAATTTATTGAAAGGATAGCCCTTTGAGATGAAGCATCTCATTCAAGGGGGGTCCTATAAATACAAATAGAAACAAAAATAAAACACATACAAAAACAGCATTACATAACAAACACACACAGATACAGACAGCTCACTCTCCCTCTGCCACCCTCAACTGTTATACAAGTATAATTTGTATGGATAATGATCAGGATAATAAATCCATTACATCAGCATAAAGAGCAATTTGAGCAGTTTGTCCTCGGTTCATCCAGAAATAAAATGAAGACAAACTGCATTAAAATTAAAAGCATAAACAGGTTTGTTTTAAGATGAGAAGCAGCAGAAAAAGGTAGAAAATGAGGACCATTATTCCAGTCGGATGGAGATTTGTATTGGAATGACCTGCATCCGACATCTTTTCCTGCGGACAAAGAAAAGGGGATGTACCATATTGTCTGAGTGGATATCAACATCCACATGGAACTGTTTCAAATAGCAAGGACAATAAAAATCCAGGGAGCAGGCAGCAACTAATTAAGCAATTCATGAAACAGGCACCTCAAAACAAATCTATATAGAGAATTATAAACAACAAGTGTCAGAGGTGTTCTGATAGACAATGTCAGCATAATCTATGAGAGGTGGTATCAGCTGAGAAATTATTCTTTTTCTGACTTGAAATCTAAAACAATTATTTGTGTAAAAGTGAACTCATAGAGCCATATGTTTTAAAGAGGGTCAGGGCAAAAGCACAGCAGCTGGCCACGGTGTAAAAAGGCACCAACCGCAAAGACGACCATCAGGGTGTCCGCGAGCAAGATGCGCCGCCAGCAGCTGAATCGGTAAGACAGAAGACAACAGGGAAAATTCAAGGAGCGTGTTGGTTTGGCTAACGTTTGGTTATTTAGCTAAATCTCTGCCTTTTATTGAAACACGGAGCCGATGCTCTCATCAATGTCACTTTTTGTGAACAGATCAATCACAGCCTGGATGGGGCGGGATTTAAAAAAAAGCTTGATGTGCTGCAACAGAGTTTATAAATGTTGAACTCAATGTTCTGCATAAATGGTTATGATTATTGACGAGTTAGTAGTCTGCGTAAAATCAAGGTTGGAGACTATCATGTAGCCTAGAGCATTTTTCTTGCACAAAGTTAATGAATAAAAAACAACTGAAACAGCTGTAATTGTAATTAATATGACACTAGTGGTAAGTTATATACTATTATATTGAATATAGTAAAATAATGAATATATTAATATCAAACTTACAGTTTACTATTAAATTAACAATATACTTTTAATTGAATGTGATAATATTATACTAATACAGTCATTTAGACTAGTTCCTCCTCCTCCTTTATTCTCTTCATCTTTGTCCCCTCCTGGCTTATTTGAATTTTGTTGTATTGATCAAGTGGTCGATGAAACTTATCACACATATCATTGCAGGCAAACTCACATTATCTAGTTTAAACCAACTAAAACACTAAATTACACTATGTTTCACATGATTTGCTGTAATATTGCGTACATAAACATCATAGTCTATGTAAGACAGTTGCTTTTCGACAGAAAATCTGACCAGTCCTTCACATAGAAAACTGTTGGCCCATACCGGCTGTTATAGGCAACTGAGAAAGCTTTTGAATGCGTCAATTTTTAGGTGGTTACAACCTGATGACATATTGGCAATAAATATATTTAAATTCCTTTTAAAAACTAAAAAACGCCCCTTTTAAAGGTGTGTGGCTGATTTAATCAGTTACAGCTCAAAGTGGCGCAGCAGTCTTGAAATATGTTGAAAAAGTCTTGAAAAGGTCTTAAAAAGGTTTTGAATTT